TCTCTCCCATCCTCTCCCTCCTCTTTCTTTCTTCTTTCCTCATCTCTTCTCTCTCTTTTCCTCTTCCTTCTTTCCTTTCCTCTTCCTCCTCTTTCCCTTCTTCATCAGTATTCTCTCTCCCTTGAAGGAACAGAACACACCAAACTGACTTCTCCCAAAGCTCAGCCTTTTACCTGCTGTCCTTGAGCCTAGAATTCTCGCCTCCTTGCCATTTCCTTAGCTTCCTTCCAGATTCAGTTCAGGTGCCCCCCTCCCATAGGATTGTGGGGAAGATCTAGCAAGATACTGGCTGGAAAGTGCTTTACCAAATGTTAGAGCCCTAATGAAAACATCAGCTGTCATCATTGTTATTATTATGTTGTAACCTCCAATAGAAAGTAAACTCCTTGAGGGCAATCCTGATGCCTGGCACACAGCAGGTGCTTAATAAATGCTGGTTGGATTGAAGTGAAGAAGGTGAAGGATCCGAACAGATGTTAAACAGGACAGATACTGTGTATCCAGACAGCTTGGCTGGTGTCTAGAAACTTTGTTGTGAGGCGGCCTTTGGCCTCCAGGGGTCGCCTCTCACCAGTTTTCTCCCAGCTCAGCTCTCCTATGCCCTGGACAGCTCCCAGCTCCCACTGGCCCCAGGAGAGGGGGCTGAAATTGAGTCTCATCAGAGGATTGCAAAAGGGCCTCCCTCTCTCTGGGTCACCCTTCTGCCTCCCAAAGTACTTTCAGGTGCACTGTAACATTCGCTGCTCACAGAACCTCTTTGAGGGGGCAGGCAGAAGCAATTGTCCCCATTTCTGAGATGGGGCTGACTGAGGCTTGGAGAAAGGGATTTGCCTTAAGTCACACTGCTAGAAAGTGGTGCAGCCCAGGCTCCCTGGGCTATGCTGCTGACTTACCTAACCCATAGTGGAAACCAAGATTTTAGCTGAATTCAATAATTCACTATTTGTTTGTAATGTTTTATTGATGCCTTTGTTTTTTGCCAACACATTCCACACTGAATGCTGCTTTGTAGCAAAGAAAACCCAACCAACCTAGCGACCATGGGTGGCTGATGGCACATCCCACTCCTTTGGCATCCCACCTCTTTGCCAAGAGGATGGAAGTATGTTTTTTATCATATGTTCTCCAGGATGCAGACCGGTCATTCCAAAAGTGTGCCATGTGCCAGGTCCTGTGTTAAAGATTGTGGGGGTGCCCAGAGTCCAGATATGAAGCAGAGAACATGATAAGAAAGTCTAGAATTGAGTATCTGAGGGTGTTCGATGAGCAGGAGAAGGTGGTACCTGAGCTGTGCCTTGAAGGCATTCTCTCCTAGCATCTTGGCATTAGGGATTAAAAAAAAACAAAACAAAAAAACCCCAAACATCCTTGTCCTCAAAGAGCCTGACTTCTACTGGGGAGGAGTGGGTAGAAAAGGACAATAGCAAAAAAGCCAAAGCAGCTGACATTTATATGGCACTGGACCTGGAGTTAGGAAGATCTGGGTTCAAATCCTACCTCAGACCTTTGCCAGCTGTGTAAGTCATTAACTCCTCTGAGTTTCAGTTTCCCTTTCTGTAAATTGAGGTTGGAGGGATCTTAGAACACAGACTATCAGGGCTGAGAGGGATCTTAGGACATAGAATAGCCGAATGGGGAGAGACTTCAGAACATGGGATGTCAGAGCTGGGAGGGTCCTCAGAACTTGGAATATCAGGACTGGGAGGGACTTCTAACATTTTCTATCCTCCTGACTCCAGCCTGATGAAGATGACCAGGTGCTGAACCTTCAGTTTAGCTGGAAGGGTTTGGTGAAACCTGTGGGCAGCACCTTCCTGGGCGTGAGCCCTGAGTTCGAATTTGCCCTCTTCACCATTGTGTTCCTGCAGTCCCAGGAAAAGGTCACTCGGGTGCTCGTCCGCATTGAGGAGTACGAGCTGCAGCTAGTGGTCTACCGCCATGGCCGCCACATTGGCTCTGCCTACCCTATCCTGCTCAGCAGCAACAATGAGGACCTCTACTGAGCTGGGCTGGGGGCTGGGCATCCCAAACTGCAGGGATCGTGAGGAAAGCCTTCTTCACAGAAGTCTTTGGTCATTCATTAGGGTCAGAATACAAAGAGGGGCACAAGCCATTGTCTAGTGGAATGGACCCTACTACTTGGGAGGACAGAGGTCCTCAGTTCTGGCCTCTACTTTGTACTATGTGCCCTCTTGAACAAGTTAGGGCTAATCTCCACCTGTAAACATGGAACTGTTCTCCTCAGATCTGAAAATTTCTGTACTAAGGCCCCTTCGAGCTTTGACGTCCCCTGTTCCTTTTCCAAAGGCTAGGTAGTATAACTGAGATTTCTGCTGCTTCATTCAGACTCGCTTCCCGAAGCCTGCTTGGAGGTAGTTCTTGCCAACTTTTCTGGAGAACAGAGCTGAAAGGGCCCTAGGGGCCACCTGTTTAATCCTTCCATTTTATAGCAAAAGTGAGGCTGAGAGAGGGCAAATGCCCGAGGTCACACAGCAAACTAGAGGTAGAGCCTGGAGCCCCAGACTCCTGGTCCAACACCCCTTCTCCGGCATCGGCCACATTCTGGAAAGGCCGATGTCCTCTAAGGACTAGCCTCAGGCAAAGTTTCTGAGGTGCCGTCCAATGGGAGTTCAGGAGCTGTGTCTGTTCTTTTAATGCTGAACCTAAAGCAAGAGAGTGAGCCCTTCCCTTTGCAGCTGAATAGAAAAGGATTGTCCATGAAACTCTCTTATGTACACTTTACCTTTTTAAAAAATGTCTACAATAAATTCAACATGAGACTTTCAAAGCTGTCCTGATGGTACTCCCTTCTGTTTTATTCTGTATTTTTAAAAAAATGACCCTCTTTGTCTCCTTTTTTTGGCATCTCTATTCCTGTTCCTCCTCCCCACCCCCTGCAATTGAAAAGGAAGGAAAGAAACACCCAAAACCTTGTAACAAGTATGAATAATCAAACAAAACAAATTTCTACATTGGCCCCACCTGGAAATGCCCGTCTTGTTCTGCAGGTGTGTTGTGCCCCATCCTGGTCAGCAGGTGGCAGCCTGCTTTATCATTGGCCCTCTGTAATTGTGGTTGACTGCTGCACTGATCTGACTGTTTCAATACGGTGTTCCCTACAATGTAGTTGTCATGGTATAAATAGTTCTGGTTCTGTTCCCTTTGTGCTAGTCTCCCAGGTTTCTCTGAAGCTGTCTTTTTGATCAATTCCCAGAAAACCAGGGCTCTGAAAAGGCATTGATGCCTCACCCGTGCCTGTATCTATCTGGTACCCCATGGGGCGTCTCAACTAGTGATACATTGTCACTACCCGTTGACACATTGTCATCACCCAAGAAGGAAATGGGAATTTTATGAAAACACCGAACAGGGTTATCATTCCGAAGTATTTCTGCCTGAGTGCCCATAATGGCGCTGGTCATTCTCCCACGCGCAACCTGATAAACTGGATACCCTCTTTGTCCTACAAACCTTGGTTGGCCCAACGCCTGATCACTACTTCTAGCCTCATAAGAGCCTTTGAAACCGAGACACTAATTTCTTAGAAACTTAGAAAGAGGCCAGTTCTGCTTTGACTTCCATTTTGGACATGTTTAGAATTCTTTACTAAAGCCTTTTCCTTTTACACTTCAATCATTTCCCCTCAATTCTTTGTCCCACACTGAAGTCTCCTTTATGTTTAAAAAAAAAAAAAGGCACAGCAATTACGTCCAATGGTGTATATAGTTTTTCACATCCATAGCCCCCCTCCCACACACACACACACACACACACACACACACACACACGTGCACAGCTATGTTTCAGCACCTCTGCTCTAGGACCAAGATTATTTATTACAGTTAAGCTTTTGGCTTCCTTTCAGTGAACCTTAGGCCATCTTGGTCGTTCTGTAAATTGTCCCCTTGCTTCCATTTCTAACTACACTCTGCTTCTGATCACCTGAAGTTTCCTGTGTTTCTCTACTTTTTTTTCCTCTTCATTGTTTCTCAGTGTCAAACACTGCCCCATTGCATCTGTGTTCTACAGCCTATTTACCCTTCCCCCCTTGGCAGGTGTGTGCTTTGTTTTCACTTCTGTGGTTTCATGAAGAGTGATGTTAGGAACGTCTTGTTACGTACACATGGGGACTTTGTTTTTGTCTTCAACGCCCTTGGGAACTCTACATGCTCGTGGGTCAGAAGGCGTGAACAGGTTGGCGACTTTTCTTGAACAATTCCAGACTTACATTTCGTATGAGAAGCGACACTGTCCATCCCTAGCATGGAGTTGAAATGATGCCCCACTCCTAGTATA